CGAGCCTGCCGGTGGCCAGATGCTCTTACTCATTCTCCCCGCCTCCTTAGGAGCAGGCCCTGACTTTCCGTGGCAAAGTGCTCTAACCGACTACGTTTCTCAGCCTCCTCGGCAATTAGGGGAGGCCACGTGGTCATGCTCTGACCAAAGAGACACGGCATAAGTGCGTGAACCTTCAAGGAGACTTTTTAAAGTGGAAGGGCAAGTAATCCCTTCTCACCCTCCTCCTTCTGGCTGGAATACAGATATGATGGCAGCCACTTTGGACCATGAGGCAACCTTCCGAAGATGGCAGACGGAGAGATGAAGGGCACGGGGTCCCTGACAACCTGAAGACTCGTAACAGCCTTAGACCGTTTGACAACATTTTCTTATGTGATAACAGAAATAAACTTATATCTTGTTTAAGACGCCATCATTTGGCTTTTCTATCATAAGGTGGCTGACCTTAATCCTGATATGCACACCCTTCTCTACAAAAACAGACAGACCTCTCCTGATCGTGATGGCAGCCAATAATGGGAAGTCTCCTTTTTCTATTTAGGCCAGGATTCTAGCTAGTAACTGGCTTCTGAATGCTACAGGAACATACTCCCTCCCATCCACAAATCAACAACAACCAAAAGCATTGCTTTTTGCTTGTCTGGGGACTATAGCCGGGGCCCTCTGCCTAGTCTATCTGCCTGATTGGGGTTCCGGCAGCAAAGACCAATACAGATGACAGAGGAGGGGAGACAGGGCACGCCCAGGGAAGGAGCATCAAGAGGTATCGGTCCTTCATGCTGATGTGCATCTACAGCTGTTTTATCTTGCCTGTACCTTTTTCTTGAAGCTATTATCCTAGACTCCCTATAATTCTAGTAGAGACGTCAATCAAACCGTACAGCCGTCCATCCTCCAATTACTCAGAATAAATGCAGACTAGCCAATCAGGGAATTTTAACTCCCAGGACAGTGATGGGTTCAAGGATAGCCACGTGACCCAAGAAGGGCCAATTAGAAGTCTTTCCTTCAGGGACTAAGACGTAGGCTGTGTGAAAGGGAATCTCTTTCTAAAAACAGCGTTTAAAGTTGGAGCTGCTCAGGACTATCTTGGTGCCAAGGGGAGAGAGCCTGTCTAAGAATGAAACCAGTGAAATCGAAGAATGTCTAGGATGTGTCGAGAGAACGACAGTACCTTAATGACTTGGTTTTAGCTCCTGGATCCCACCATGCCTGAAGGAAGGCCAGTCCTTTCACTCCCTATTATTAGGAAGAACACTTATTACTCACTCCTAATAGTGCTTTCCTCCTGGAGCAGCATTACATTAGCATTCACTCCCTCTGTGCCCACCCTGCACTCACTCCTCCCCAGGAGATGAGAAGGGACTTAGCTGGTTGGTAAGCTGGGGAGAGTAATGGCCCACACAACCTAGTTCCTCCCTTTCATTTTGGGATCTGTCTGGCTGGAGGGGCACACAGTCTCTGTTCCTCGTGTTCTAAGTTTCTCAGGGGCAGGCCCTGTCCGGGAGCCCATGAGTAGATCGCGAGTTCAGGGCAGGAGGACCATCTTACAAGGCTCTCCTCACCATCAGACCTAAAGCCACTTCTCCAAGAAGTCTTTCTCCACACCGGAAGTAACATTTTTATCCCATCTCCTCCACTTCTGCATCCGTCTCTCAGCTGGCGTCCAACTTGGGCTAGAAAGAGGAGTGTTCATTATTCGAGCCCTCAAACCCAGGGAAAGTGAGTTAAAAGTTTCCCTTTTGCTTATGCGGCTGAGTTTCTGTTTCTTACACTCAAAGGTGTCTTGATCGATACAACTTCCCTGACTCCAATGTCTGATGCAACATCCTATCACATTCCCTGTGCTAATATTTTATTTCTGCTCATTAAACAAATCCCCTTTCTCACAGTGGAGGTTTGGGCTCTTCCCCCCATTTTTAGGTGCTGAGCTTCTGCTCACCTGACAAGAGTGGCTCAAATGAATCAGATCCAGCTGGGACTTAATCCCTGGCCACTCTGAACTGGGGTGGGGAGGGGTGGGAAAGCCGGAAAGGGGCCTGTGGTATGGACTGGCTGCACTGATGGCCCCACTCTCCGCCTCCCTACATCTATGTCCTTTGCTCTGTAACTGCCTCGCCCCACCCACTCTGACTCTGGGCTTGACCATGTGACTGACTTTGGCCAATAGGATGTTAGCAGATCTGAAGCTTGAAAAACTGCTTGTGTTTTCCACGTCTGCTCTGGGGCCTCTGTGATCACCATGAGAATATGCCTGGGCTAGCCTGCTGGAGGATGAAGCATGTGGAACAGAGATGGGCCATCCTGCCTTAACCAGCTGACCAGACACGTGAGAGAGCTTCTGCCGAGACCAGAAGAATTGGAGGCCAAGTCCAACCGAGATGACCAGATTTTTACAGCTGGCCTGTAGACCTGGGAACAATTAGTGCTTCTGTGTCAGGGCAAGGAATTTCGAGGTGGTTGGTTATGAGGCATTATTATAGCGATAACTAACTGCAATGGGGCCCCTTCCCCTCAAATTGCAAATAGCCCAGGCAAGGTGTGTCTCCCACAGTGCCCGACAAGGTGCTGGTAACAGAGTGTGGTTCATTTAAGCTCACAGGTTCTAGAACAAGACTGTCAGAGTTCAAATCCCAGGGCTGCCTTTGTCCAGCTTTGTGTCTTTGGTCAAGTTATCCTGTCCTCAGTCTGTCTTCAGATGGGAGTAATAACGTGACCACTGTCCATGGCGGCTGTGAGGATTTAAGGATCTAATACACGTGAGGTGCTTAGATGGGAGAGTTCTCAAAACAGATGAGCTATTAACGAGTGTGTCCAGCTCCCTGAACCAGACCCGCACCCTCGCCTCCTGGAGGGCTGGAACGCTGTTTCGTGCTCCTCTCTTCCCCCATTGCCTGGCAGAAGGCCCAGCACAGTAAATACCCACTGTTTGCTGAATGTCTGCAGCGAAATTAGCACTTTATGAGTACAGATGCAAATTTCAACATTCTCTTTCAACCTAGCCAACATCTTTGTTCTTTTTACAAAGCGTACTTGTAATATTTATCATTTTTTCACAACCGGCCTTCTGCCTCACTCCCCACTGTGCTAGGAAATCAATCTTTTAAGCCTGCTTCACTGTCCTGCATTTACATGCACTGCCCATTCCAACTGAGCTTAGCTGAAGCGCTTCCCAAAAGCTCTTCCCGAGTGGAGGGGCACCCGGGAGAGGGAGCAGGAGGAATCGCCTTCTTCCAACAATCCGCAGCCCAGCCTCTTTCCAGAACCAGACCCTCTGGCTCTTTCTGAGCCTTCTTTTCGCTCCAGAGCCTCCACCATCTGGCAAGCAGCCTCATTCCCTGAAGACTGATTCCTGGGCTCTGGACGGCTTGCCTCCCCACGGGCTGTGTGGGAAATCCCCCAGGACATTACCCACTGGGCTCCCTCTGTGCATGAGGGTGGTGGGAGGGAAACCGCTCTTGCATCCCAATCCTTCTGTCACTTACTGGCTGTGAGCTGGGGGAGCGGTCACTAACCAGGATACCCCGCCCCCCCCACCCGTGGTCTTCTGCAGCAGAGAGGGCTCAAGTCCTTCCCCCACCCCCACCTCATGCAAACTTTGTGCATACGGGTGCTCTATTGAAGAAAGCTCTATCGAAGAAAGATCTGAGGTTTCCATCACATTTTTAAAGGCCTCTAGAAAGCAAAAACCACATAACCACAGCCTTGGGCAAGTCACTTCACCCCTGTAAGCCTCAGTTTCTTCATCCAAAAAAATGAAACAATGAAAATGCTCTCTGGTTTCACTTTATAGAAATGTTGTAAACAAGAAAATGGATCCAAACCATAAACTGCTAGACAAATAGAGGCAACGATTAATATTTCATTATGTTATTTTTTAACTCAGAAAGTACTTAGCTTGTGTGGATTTTAAGAGATGTTGCACAAATTATATTAAAGACTATATATTATTCTCAATTTTTTTTCGTGGATGTGGACATTAGTAAAACTTAGATTACCGGAAAGGACACGGATAGAAAAGAGACAGAGTCCTCAGTAATAGTAACAGCAGACAATACTATGAACCTTACACGCATCATCTAATTTAATCCTTACAACGTGCCCATGGGTGGGGGTTTACATCATTTCCTTTTTACAGATGAGGATTCCAAAGCTCAGAAAGGTTAAAAGAATGGCTCCAGGTCAGACGGCAGAGGGGGATGTCAAGGGCGGTTCTGGTTACTCTAAACCCCTCACGCTTAACCACGGTGCTGCCGACTGTGTCTCTTTTATGAAAAGAATGGGAATGCTGTTGTTCATTCTACATTGTCTCCCTCTAGACAAAGTGATTTTGCCTCTCCTGGGTTCTGCAGAAATGCTTCTGATTCTGAATACAGGGCCTTGCGTCTGACCCAGCGCTTCAGCATTTGGGGAATTTAAGGAAATGTACCTAAGGTGACTCCCAAGCCCCACCATGGGCCTCATGTCTCTCCTGTAAAACGGGTCTACTTCTGTCTCCCTCGGGGGCCGCTGGGGACGTTCTGGTGGGCCACAGAGCAGAGGCACCGGTCCAGTGCCGGTGTGATATTTGTGCTCATTCTCTGCTTGTATATTTCCTTTCCTTTCCTTTCGTGGGAATGTTAAGACAGGAGAACTGGTCAGTGAAGAGAGACAGAGTGGAGAGAGGCCTGCGACAGACTTGAACCACTAAGAGATCTGCGTTCACATCCTCTCTGCAGCGGGGACCAGTGGAAAGGCAGCAGTGGAAAGACACCACACAGCACTGAGTACACCTGGCTCTTATCCTGCTCTGTCCTGGCTTTTCCAGGCTACCTGTGTGACCCATGTCCCCTCCCTGGGCCACCTGTAGCAGGCTGTTGGGAAGATGAAATGGTATAGGGCGTCTTAGGGCACCCAGCACAGCGCCTGCAGAGAGGGACGGCCGCAGGTCTCCCCACGCCGGGCGGCAGTGACCCCAGGAAGAGGCTGGAACTGGTGGGAAAGACAGAGGCCCCTACCTTGCTCGGCTGCCACCTGGTCATGCTTCTCAAGGAGCAGGTAGCGCGGGCTCTCGGGGAGAAAGGGCAAGCTCACCAGCTGGACCACGGCGGGGACAGCAATCACTCCAAACAGGTACGGCCAGGTGCTCTCCTGAAGGGAGAAGAGGAGGCCAGTGAGTAGACATGGCCTTTGGTCATTATGCTGGGGCTGGGCCACAGGGCCAAGCAGCTTTGGCTCTTTGCAGAAGGGCCCTCTGCTCTGTGGTCCACACGGACCAGCCCAGTGTGTCTGGCATTCTCCACGCAAGAGGTTGGTGAATCCACCTGGGAGGCAGTGACCTGAGAAGGAGGAGTTCGGGGGGCCAAGGAGTGGCAGACCCCATCACCCCTGGGGCGTTACTGCGAGCCTGAGGGGCTCCACTCTTTCCTGTTTGTGTGGCCTCGGAAACCATCCTCATGGCCCCTCAGAGTCACCTCTTCACCTGTGGGATGGTGACAATCTCAGCCGCCGCTCAAGCTGTTGTGAGAGTGGATCAGATAGTGCTCTGACTGTGGGGCCTGGCACACAGTAGGTACACAGAGGAAATTACGGCTCAGGTTGGTGCCACCACCTAGATGCGTCTGAGGCTGCGACACCCGACCCGTCCTGCTCCTGTGAGCGTACAGACAAGAAGGGCGGTGGCTGGAGATGTCCCAGTTCCCTACAGAAATGGGGGGGTGGGAGCCGGTAGTATAGCCCACCCTTGAGGTAGGAGAGCTTTTCATTTTCCAGGCGGCTGTGAAAGGCAAGCAGGGCCCCACAATGTGCTTATTCAAGAGGCATCTGAGTGGCTTCCCACAGCACCATTCAGCTCTAATGCAGCTTAAATGCAGCACGGAGCCCTGACACTGTGTCCATCAAGGCGGCATTCTTCCCCACCTGCTTTTTTTTAACCCAGGTTTACAAATAAACTCTCGCTGTGCCTCTCAAGAAAAAAGATTATCAACGCGAGGCAGTTCTGATGGGGAAAAGGATGAAAAGCAAAATGCTTAGTGCCAAGGTCTTGACATGTTTTATTTCCTAAGAAAATAAAAGGAGACAGCCAAGGAGAAAATAAGACACATTCAGACCTGAAAAGACTTCACACAATGGGCGATGGTCCAGTGGGCTTCAGGTGGGGATCCCACAGGAATGTGTCTAAAGAACCCTTGAGGGCCACACTGGCAGCGCTCTCAGGGTCAGTCTCTGTGTCTCTCCTACAGCTGTTCTCTTGGAGGCGGACTCCCCCCCGTGGCGCTCTCCCAAGGCTCCCTCCCTCCTGGGCTCCTTGATGACAGAGGCCCAGGTATGTTCTCAGGTCACATGAGGGTAGAGGAGGCAGGGACCCCTGAAGCAGAGCAGGGGAGTGGCTTGTCAAAGCATAAGAGCCCTCTGGTTTGTCCACGTCCTGATTTTCAATTCTACTCCCCTTTCTGTATATAATAGCAATTTATATGCACAGAACTCTTCTGATTTCACCAGCCAGCACAGTTCTGTAACCACAGGCCCCCAGGACCAGTTCAACTGACCCCATCTTATCAACAGAGTAATTAAGGTCGTCTTTCAGGAACTGAGAGCTCCGCCTTGTCCAGTTCAGGCCATTTGAGACCACCAACTGGGCCAGCACAAATACCCAGTAAGTGACCTTTTTGACATCAAAGGGCTGAAAACTCCACCCTCAGGTCATACTAAAGCCATCATTTTGTGAACATGTGTCCTATGAAGAGCCACAAGGCTTGACTATGTTCGCACAGGCCATCGATGACCTCACTTCTCCTCACTGCCAATCACCCATCGTCACACTTCAGACAGCCCTGCCCTTCATCCCATAAATTTTGCCCCAAGCCCTGGATCGCAGAGATAGATCTGAGAGCTGATGCCTCCTGTCTCCCTGTAGATCAATCTAGCAATAAAGCTGTTTTCTTTTCCTAAAAGCTGATGCTATAATAATGGTTTTCTTAATGTGCATAGGGTAGGAGAACCTCAATTTCGTGTGGTAACAGTCCCTCCACTGCCCTGTGAGGCCAATGCCAGCTTTTCACGTTGGAGGAGACCTCTATGTCAGAGACCAGGAGAGGAGACGGAAGGTGGATCAGTGGTTGCCCGAGGCCAGAGGGAGTGGCGAGTGACTGCTAATGGGTGTGGGTTTCTTTTCCTAGGTGATGAAAATATTCTGGAATTAGAAAGAGGGGATGTTTGCACAACTTTTTGAATATACTAAAAACCACTTTAAAAGGACGAATTTCATGGTACGTGAATTATATCTCAATTTTTAAAAAAGATCATGGAATCAAAAAAATCACATACATATACATGGAATTTTCACTACAACTTTTTTGGTGTGTGTATGTTGTTGTTTATTTTGTTTTCACTTAGAGCTTGGCTTGTCAAAATTCACAATAGAGGAGTCGTTTTAAATGGAGTCGGAGCTGCCTTTCCAGAGAAACTGCCCGGCCGTCTTGAACCCGGCTGGGCTGAACCTCTGGACTGGGCCAGAACGGCAATTGTTTATAAGCAATTGTGTGAGAAGTCAGCAGGAGAATGGACATCCTGATCACAAAGACTGAGGATGATGGGCTTTCCGAAGACAGAATCAACTGTCAATCAACGTTCAGCCAAGACTAGCTCTCTGCCTCTAACACTAATTAGCATTCTCTCTGATACAACCTCCCTTCTTTGCCTTTAAAAGACCCTGACTTTTACTCCCTAGCGGGACGCTATTTGGATTTCTGAATCTGTGCTCCCCGAATTACAATTCTTTGATTCCAAATCAACACCTTGCCTCTTAATCTGGTTTCTGTTTTTGCAGGTTGACAGGCTGCTGCCTCGGTAAGAATAAAAACAGAAAGCTGAGAAAAAAGACAAGGGAATCAACACAATTAAGCTCCTGCTATGTGCCAGGCACGGTGTGAGCTCATTGCATCATTGTCTCGTTCAACCTCCCAGCAGCCGGGAGAGGCTGGTGCTATTTTTGCACATTAGATACGTGGAGACGGACATGCTTGTGCTAAGGCCTCCCAGCCAGGAGCCGCACAGGCAGGAATGAAGCCCAAGCTTTTCCCACAGCATCACAACAAAGGGGCATGTCCCAGGGGTGGCATCCTAGGAGCTGCCACTGGGTGGAAGGAGGAGATGAGCTGGAAGGGCACTCCTGGAATAGGAACAGCACACACAGATGTGCAGAGGCATGATCCACCCACGCTCATTGAGGAGCAACAACTGTAGCAGGATTGTGGGACCAGGGGATGCTGGAGACGGCGGAGCTGAGGCTGGAGTCTCAGATGGAGGCTGGGTCGTGGGTGCTTCACTGTTATTCTGTGGCACAGGGACCTGGCTCTGAGGACAACCAGGGGCCTTAGAAGCATCCACACACTTAACTGAGATGGACACCCTCTATTTCCTTGAATCTACAGGTCAGCATTTCTGGAATCGTGCAGTCAGCGAGTATACTGGATGGATTCCTATTATTACTGAGAAGCCGAGCCTGTGGTACAGCCTGTGACCCGTGGCATCTTAAATACAAGGACATGTGCAATCTTCCCTAAGGGTGATCACTTGGGTGGCTGTGGTCTGGTCTCCACCTCTGGAGAAAACAGATGCTACTGACCCATGGGTCGGTGACCCCTGGTTTGAGATGTTGACAGTGTCTGGGCTGGAGGAGGAGAATGGCAGGAATGTCCTGAGAAGAGTTTGGGCCTCAGTTTTCTCATCTGTAAAATGGGGGTGATGCCTAATCACTGGCTGTCGGGAGGGTTCAATGAGTCACGAGATGCACGAAATGCTCAGCATTGGCCCCCACCCACTGTGCGCCTTTAACAGGAGAGAGTGCTGTTTACTATCAAGCACGGCGTGAGGCACGTTACACAGACTGCCTCCTCAAATCCTCACCACAGCCCTCTGAGGTAGAGCCCGTTATTATGCCCATTTTACAGAAATATTCACTGTAGCACAGAGAGGTTAAATAGCTCATTGAGGCCACAATTCCATCAGAGGCAAAGGACTGAACACCGGTCTTGGATCCCAGAACCCGAGTTCTGATCCATCACAGGTGCCTCAGTGACCAGGGAGGGGCCATGAGGCCGCAGACCCCGGGGCATCCAACCGTCTTCCATCTGCTTTGGGCCAAAGAGTCCTCTGTGGCCCCTGACGGTGTCCCGGGGCAGTTGGTCCCAGCCTGGAGCTGAGGACTCAGCATTTTGCCTTACGCTTGTGACTTCTCGCCGTCTGAGGGCACATGGTAGCTATTCAATAAACATCTGATGGAGAAACGAACATGCATGGGAGGGGGCTTTCTTACACACAGACCCCTGCCCTCTGCAGGGGACAGCCCCTAACCTTCATTTTCAGGAGCTGTTCAAACAAGAAGGCATGTTTTAAAAAACATATATTATTCCCCTAACACAGGACCACGAGGGGCCACCAGAAGTTAATCCCAGAGGAGTCTTTGTGCCGCCAGCGAGAGCTGATGTGTTCAGTGAAGCACAAGGTGAGAGTTCTGGCAGACGCTTATTTTAGTCGGGAGGAGGGACCAATGGATAGTCTTGTCTGCCGAGATGATCTTTAACTCCCTCTCAGGTCAGGTGAGTGGGTCTTGCAATAACCCGATTATCTCGCTTTTCAATCTGCAAGGTTTCCTTTTTTAACACAGTCTTGTCTTTGAGGTCGTACTTCCCCCAAGCGATAGACGACTTCAGGCCTTTCCCTAAATAGCGTCCTCCTGGACTGTGATGAGACAGTGAAAAATCTTAAGTAGAGTTGGAACCATTGATCTTACCCTAAGTGAGGTCCTTATTAAGGACATCACAGCATGCCCTCAGCCTCCCAGACCAGTGGAGAGGGAAGGTGACGCTGGCTGGTCACTCATGCCACCAACGTGCCACTGACGCTCTGTGGTGCTGGAGGCGAGAAGGGGAAGACAGAGACCTCCCTCACATGGCGATTTGGGAGGTGATATGGGATATATTTCTCCATTTGTCTTCACACTAAGGCACTAATTATAATAACGGCTAACATTTATCAGGCTCTCCATGTGCCGAGCTCCATGCTCGGTGCTTTTGAAACATAATTGCTACAGCGTGCTAAATACGCACAGTTCATGATGTCGCCAAAATACAGCCATGGTTCCTGTCTCC